GCACACTCGGGAGTGAGTGGACGCCTGTGTGTGCATGTGTGTGCACACTCGGGAGTGGATGCCTGTGTGTGTGTGTGTGCACACTCGGGAGTGAGTGGACGCCTGTGTGTGTGTGTGTGTGTGTGTGTGCGCGTGCGTGCACATGCACATGTGGGAGGCAGGGGTAGCAGGTTGCTCCCTGGGAAGCACACGTGGCAGGACAAAGCAGTCGGGCACACGGTGCCATTCCCGGCACGCAGCACAGCTGGCTCGGAGCGGCCTGGTCCTAGGGCTTCGTCCGTGCCCTGCACAGGGGTCTCCTGGGAGGACGCTGAATGCTCCTTTCACGCGCGAGCCCCGGGGGATCCGGGACAGGGACCCCCAGTGTGCAGGCAGAAGGGCGGGGTCGTTAGAGGAGAACAGAAACGTTTACAGGGGAAGAAATGCTGCCGAGGGCCGGCCCGAGGCCCCGGAGGAGACGCAGCTCAGAGGAGGTGTCGGTGTTATCTGAGGGAGACGGTGGAAAGTATTTCAGGAATAAACAAACCTCCCAGGCCCACGCTCCCTGCCTTCTGCTTGGATTAGGATTTCTGCACGGCCACATTGCAACGGTGTGAACCCGGGCACGTAACATGACCTCTCTGGGCCTCAGTTTCTGCATCCGGAAAATGGAGCCGTTGTTGTTGGGGGACTCCATGGGACAATGTCTTGTTCATAGTCAACGCCCAAGGGATGGGGACTGCAGGACTGCAGTTGGTGGAGTTGAGAGACGCAGGGCCATTAACTGCTGTTATGCAGAAGCTGAAATTCACAGCCGCCGTTTGGAGACCTGAGGTGCCCTACAGTTCCCAGGCTACTTTTTAACTTATGGGAGCTTCGGCATGACACAGGCTGGGTTAAGATCGTGGCTTGGGAAGCGCAATTTCTTCGTTTGCCAGTAAGCATAATAACAGCGTGGATTTCATTGGGCTGTCTCAAGCGAGTGAAATCACACTCGCAAAACGCTTCACTCTGTGCTTAGCGTGTGGTGAACCCGCACGAAATGCTCTCATCGTGTGACTGTTGAAGACAGGCAGGCCCAGCTTTGTCTGAAGTCGCTCAACGGTTGGTGTGCAGCCAGCACCCGGTTGCTGTCAGAGTAAATGTCTCAGCTGGGCTCCGCGTGTTTTATAAACACGGCTGCTCCCTCTCCGTGGGGCGGGTCGCACGCCCCTTCTGTAAAATGACCTAGAGTTTGCACAGAACCCGTGCACATCCTGCTGTGTGCTTGGTCTCGTCTCTGGATGACTTAGAACCCCTAGCGCGAGGCAGAGGCTGTGCGAATCCGGAAACAGTGGACGTGCGGTGCTGTCCCGGGACGGCGACACACCAGACGCCTGCAGGCGTTCAGGGACGATGAGGTGTTTTCAGCTTTGTCGAGTCTGTGGAATGGAACCTGTGGACAGGAGGCCAATGGCATTGAGGTGTTTTTTTTTTTTTTAAATTGGTTTATTTGAAAGGCACAGAGGCAGGAGAGAGAGAGAGGGGTCTTCTATTGCCTCTTTCACGCCCCCAAATGCTTACAACAGCCAGAGCCAAGCCAGGTCAAGGCCAGGGGCCCGGAACTCAGTCCTGGTCTTTCCTGGGGTGGCAGGGATCCAACACTCGAACCGTCACCTGTTGCTGCTCGGGCTGCGCACTAGCAGGAAGCTGGATTGGAAGCAGAGGAGCTGGGCTGCGAACCCGGCACTCCCACCAAGGCTGCTGATTCCGCAGGCTCATTGGAACTGCTGCGCCAAACACCCACCCTGCACTGAGTTCCTTAGTCCTCATGGCAAACGTCTGTGACGGGTTGCAATCCCCATCTCCTTCATGGAGGTGGCGTGAGGCACGGAGAGGGACAGCAACCAGCCAAGAGTTAGCCAG